TAACGTTTTGGTTGTGGTTGTGATTAAAGTCCCCATTGAGCCTAGAACCTCATTAAGAGCTTATTTTGGTCATATGAAGCCTTTAAAGCCATGCATGCACATAAAGTTAGCAACTTTACGTGAAAAACATGCCCTAGAAGTCTAGATCCATGATTTGTAGCAGCTGCATGGCTAAGATCGGACCTGTATGAAAAAAGGGCTGAATGAACTCGATGAGTCCACAGGACGACTCGGTGAGTTATATGAAGTTAGCTATCGACTCGACGAGTTGGAAGAACAACTCGGCGAGTCTGATGAAGGTTTCCTTAGAACTCGACGAGTTGTATGAGCAACTCGGTGAGTCGGATGAGTTTTCCCGAGTAAAGTTGTGTTTGAGTAGGATGGCTTCATTCCTTCATGGTTACACGTAAAGTTAGCAAATTTACATGTTCAGATGGTTCCAAGATTTCAGATCTGCGAGTTAGGAACCATAGAGCGGATTCAAATGTAGTTGTATGGAATCTGCTCGACAGAACTCGACGAGTAGTTCCTCAGACTCGGCGAGCAGTTCCTCAGACTCAGCGAGTCCGATTAATTGGAGGTTGACTTTGACCTGGAGGTTGACTTTGACCAGGGGTAAAACAGTTATTTTACCCTCATTATAGTTATCAGTAATTGATTGAGTATATTTATGGAAATTGTAGTCGGGGAGATAACAGAGTAGCAGCTGTCGGTTCCCAGAGCAGTTCATTTAGCACCCAGTGTACAAGGTGAGTTTCCTTCGAGTAGGAACGACTCTAAGGCCACAATGCCGACCCGTTTTGCTAGCAGTAGTTTCTGGACTTCGGTCCGATGCATTAGTTAGTATGTTTGATGCCTTCGTGGCTCAGGCAGGATTTATGTGTTATGTGTTCCGGGCTACGGCCCGATGCAGTATGCAGTTTATGTGTTCATGATAGTTGATATGTTTATGCTATGCTATGCTCAGTCAGTTTCCGGACTTCGGTCCGATGTAGGGGACAAGGTCCCAGTCAGTTCCGGATTTTGGTCCGATGCAGTTAGTTTTGGACTTCGGTCCAATGCAGGGGACAAGGTCCCAGTTAGTTCCGGACTCGGTCTGATGCAGTGGGCAAGGCCTAATATGTGTTTATATGTTATTATTATGGTATGTGGTAGCTTGGGGGAGCTCACTAAGCTTTGTGCTTACAGTTTGTTTTGGTTTCAGGTACTTCCGCAAGTAAAGGGAAGACTTCGGGTTGATGGCATCGCACACACCACAACTTCAGTTTATCCTGGGAATTGTTTTAGCTTGTCATAGATATGATTTGATACAGTTTTCTCGTAATATTTTGCTATTGTTTTGAGATATTGACGTACGAGTTTTATTTTATGATATTGACATGATGTTTTTAGTAATTAATAAACAAAAATTTTTTGGGTCGTGTTTTGGGTCGTTACAAGTTGGTATCAGAGCCTTGGTTTGAGGGACTCAGGCACACTTCCGGGTGTGTCTGAACTCAAACTAAGGAAATGGTAAAATGTTTTTTAAAAGAAAAGAGTTTTAGAAAAGTAAAAATAATTTTTAGAAAGATAAAAACTTTGAAAAGAGAAAAGTGGTGTGGTGCATGCGATCAGCCGAACTCAAGTAAGTACTCCCAAATTACCCATACAAGTTACGTTATGAATATTAGTTTCAGTTTCAGTAGAACAGCATGCTAGAATAGGACAAAGGATCTAGGAGGATGCCTTATGTGCCTGCTATATATGTTTCAGCCTCATAAGAATCGCATGCTAACATGGAGTGGTCAGTAGTAGGATAGCATGTTTAGGTTATGCCAGATAATATTAGCTTAGCATTGCATGCTAGTACAGTTCCACTTTATGAGGATATAATTGCTTGAGTAGTCTCCTATGTCTGAATGTTGCTTGCTTTGTGCTTTGTGGGACTCTAAGTGATGGGAGTTAGCCATTAGGTGAATGCGTCACGTCACATGTGAACAGGGTTGAATAATCTCAGAGTGCTAGACTTAGCCCTATTGCGCAGCTCTTGTCTGAGTCTAACCGTTGTAGGGACGAGTCTTTAACTTAAAGGATTATCTGAGCCTCGCCGCATGTGATGGTATTCGGGTGATGGTTAATTGGAATCACAAGGAGGCCTTCAGCAGCTGAGGACCGGATCGGGTATAGTCAGGGGATTCCCTAGGGCAAGCCTAGGATGGGAGTAACAGAGATCGTTAGCAGTAATAGTGACTTGGTGGAGTCGAGGTAGTTCTTGAGGAAGGTATGGATAAATGTGGAAGGTAGTAGGGGCCAATACTACTGGAAGCAGAGGATCCGTAATCGAATCGAGGAAAATTTGAGATGAGACCAGGAAACTTATGGTAGTAGTGATCCCTCGAGTCAGTGTTCCTGACGTTTATTATGTTGTGTTTCAGAATGGTGGTGTTAGGTCCTAGACCAGTAGTCGACAGTTCAGGTGCCGGAGGGGGATCAGGATCAGGCCCGGAGGCCGAGCAGTTGGATGAGCAGACTAGGGAGTTTCTCTCTTCAGAGATTACTCGCACCATACTTGAGCAGACTCCTGTAATCTTCGGTTCGATCAAGGAGGGTATCTTGGAGATGATGGACGAGAGGTTGAGCACCTTACGTGCTGAAATGGCGGCCATGATGGGGTCACGCACGCTTACTTTTAGGGAGTTCCGAGCATGCGGGGCTTCGGATTATCATGGGGCACGGGACCCCATAGCGAGCACTAGATGGTTGGCAGACGTGGCTAATGCCTTGCGCACTAGCAGATGTCCCGAGGGAGACAATGTCATATTGGCGTCCTGTCTTCTGAAGGACAGGGCACGGGATTGGTGGGAAGAGATTGGTCATGCCATCGGGGATGATGCAGCCTTGGATGCCACGACCTGGGCAGACTTTACTACCAGATTCAGAGTCGAGTTCGCACCGGTTATTGAGGTGTAGCAGTTAGCACGCGAGTTTCAAGATCTTACCCACACTACAGAGATAGTGGTGGAGATTACCACCAAGTTCAGGGAGAGGAATCTTCTTGTTCCTCAGTACGCGGCTGATGAGGAAATGAAAAAGGCTCGTTATCATGAGATACTACGGAGTGATATCCACCAGTTTGTGAGCCGGTCCAGCTATAAAACGCTAGATGACATGATTGCTAGGGCGAGAGAGAGAGAGAGAGAGAGAGATTGACCTTGAGATGGAGAGAAAGAGGAAGCCGGAGGCGGCTCCAGGTACAGGGAGTGCAGGAAAAAAGCCCAAGGGTTCATATCACAGAGCTAGGAGTCAGTAGAGCCACGCTCGGTGTGGCAAGTGTGGGAGATTGCACGATGGGGCGTGCAAGGCAGGGAGTGCCAGCTGCTACAAGTGCGTTCGGACCCGACATATGAGCAGAGATTATACAGCTACTACTACCGTCGTTGCAGCATCAGATCTGATTTGCTTCTATTGCAATCAGAGGGGACATAAAAATTCCTAGTGTTCGAGTTTAGCTGCTGCAGGAAACGTGTCAGCACCTGCTCCTGCTCCTGCTACTTTGAGGATTACAGATGGTCGTTAGGGCCGAGCTGAGACGCTGGTGGCAAAGAGTAGGGCTTTTCAGCTGACAGCAGAGGAGGCGTGAGCGACTCCTGAAGTGGTGATGGGTATGTATTTTTCCCTTATATTCGTATTTATTATTGATTGTTCCTTATGGTTATATGTTTTGTGTAGGTTCGTTCTCCATGAACGGCATTTCAGCTACAATATTGTTTGATTTGGGGGCAACCCAATTATTTGTCTCTCTTGCGGTTAGCAAGAGGTTCAGCAAAGATCCTGGAGAGCTAGATTGTCCACTGATGTTGAGATAGCAGCTGATAGGACCGTTAGGGTCACAAGGGAACACAGAGGATGTTCTCTAAAGTTATTCGAGGAGCGGTTTTCCTTATGGTTATATGTTTTGTGTAGGTTCGTTCTCCATGAACGGCATTTCAGCTACAATATTGTTTGATTTGGGGGCTACCCAATTATTTGTCTCTCTTGCGGTTAGCAAGAGGTTCAGCAAAGATCCTGGAGAGCTAGATTGTCCACTTGATGTTGAGATAGCAGCTGATAGGACCGTTAGGGTCACAAGGGAACACAGAGGATGTTCTCTAAAGTTATTCGAGGAGCGGTTTTCAGTGGACTTGGTCCCTATTCACCTGCGAGGGAATAAAGTCATAGTAGGCATGGATTGGCTAAGCTCCAATGGGGTGGTGATAGATTGTGAGATTCAGGGCGAGAGGCCACAGCGCGAACCGGTTTTGTGTTCAACGACGAGAGCGAGGCGTTATTTTCAGCAGGGTTGTGTCGGCTATGTTGCCTATGTTCTAGATGCCCGTGAGAAGGGTAAGGCGACAGTTGATGATGTTCCGGTGGGACGGGACTACCCGGATGTATTTCCTGAGGATTTTCTAGGAATACCTCCTAAGAGACAGGTTCAGTTCGGAATTGACCTAATCCTTGGTGCGGCTCCGATAGCCAAGGCACCGTATCG